TAAACGGAGCATGGCAGAATCAATGTTAATAGTTCGGACTAACAATAGCATAAATCTAAGAACCGACACAAATATTTTACATGACACTTATATAAACATCATTAATAATTTATAAATTTTTTCATTTATCTTATTCGTTTCAATAAATTAATTTGTTTTTTCATTTTTATCGATTTTGTATGCGATAGCACTCCTTTTGTTTACATTATAATGATACCCTCTCTGTCTCCATCTATATAAGTACTTCAAATTTGTTTAGAATATTTCTGTAAGTGTTATATGTTTCTTTAGTACTGTGTCAAGCATTGCAAGGAATAGTTGGTGTTTTTTTTGAATACCAAAAATTAAATGAAATTTAAATAAATTATTAAAGAATGTGTAGTATATAAGTAACTGTATTTGAAATTACACTGAAGATGAGACACACCATGGTCTCGAAACGTCTGTAATCATAAAATAAAGTTGTGTTAAACAAATCTGAGTGCTGTTTTGTTCATATTAAACAATTAATATTCGTTCCACTCATATCATAAAATTCTATAATATATATATATATTGATGCATATACAGTATAATCTCGGTTAACCGGACTAATTGTTGTCGATGGACATTCGGATAATCGAAAATCCGGATAATCAAATGTATGAAGAAAACCATTGTGTATTTATTAAAAATAACAAATACATACATAGATATCAATGAAAATAATATTCATAAGAAATTGAAACTTCCTTATGTAAGTACATATATATTATATTAGATTACATTACAACATATATTATACTAAACTACAGTATTAATCATGCAAAAATTCGAATTGCAGGTATGTACATACATATAAATTAGTCGTGGTTGTTAGTCCGGATAATCGCGAATCCGTATAACTGAGGTCCGGATAATCAAGGTTCTACTGTATATATATATATATATATATATATATATATATATATATATATATTATATATATATATATATATATATATATATATATATATATATGATTTAGTAGTTAATTTTGATGGTAAAATATGAGTGAGTTCTTGAGGGCAATACATCAAACAAAGAAAAGGCAAAGATTTATAAAATAATCTTTAATTCCAAACGTTTCGACATTCAATTTAATGTCATCATCAGTGGATATTGAACATGGTATTTTATATCTAAAAATGTGTATACATCACAGAATTTTGCACTAACATTGATACAACTAACCAGTCGATAATCATGAATTTTTTTAATAAGAAAAATAATGAGAGTTTTGTTTTGCAAAACTGTGGAAAAATGTTTTTTAAGCATTTTTTCATAGACCGGTGGCTATGTAATCGCTGCAGATACCGAGGCAAAGTGAACACATGTGTGGTAAAATTTTGTTTTTAGGGCACACAAGGAGTGTTCCTAAAGTCAAAATTAGACCTTTCATCGGCGTTTTCTCAAAAACGCCTGAACCGATTTCAGAAATTTAAAAACCATTTAATGTGTCTCAATGAGGACTATCGCTTGTCAGTTGCGAAGATCGGCCGAGCCGTTTCATTGAAATTTGGAAAAAAGTGTTAAAATTTTCGTTCAAATTTAAGCTCATACTACCGAATCGATTTTAAAAAATCAAAAACTGTTTGAAAGATATTAGTTGGGAATGATACTGATTAGTTTTAGGTGAAAAATATCCAAGCCGTATTCTTGTAAATTACTGATGAAAAAAATTAAGCTGATTTTTATGAAACTTTTTTTAGCGATATATATCATGGTCTTATAAAACTTACAAGTAGTTAATTTCAAAATTCATCAAGTTTGAGAAAATGAGTAGTTTTTTTGACGTTGTTTAAAAATAAAATTAGACGATTTACTGGTATAACGATAGAGTACTTGGTCTTAATAAACAAACTAAACCATTAAAGTCTTGAAAATTATTGATTTTTGAAAATTTGCTTTTAGAAAATACTCCGAGCTAACGTGTTCGTTCGCTTTCAATTATGTGTAATAAATCCGCTTGGAATACTTTTAATCACTCATAAATTAATTTATTTTTTATTGATTAGGTCGATAATTACACATATCGGGAAGTTCATGTAACTTTCCTCAAGGCAAAATACCAATACCAACTAATTTGAGTTATTTTATGTTGATGAAGACTAACGTCAGGTTTTGGCTAGCTTCTCCGATATAAAAAAGTTCGCAATTAGAGCAATTAAATTTTTAAAAGTTCTCATACTTTTTAACTCAAATTAAACATATATAGCAACATCAAAATCAAAATTATTCAAATATGTTAAATTTTTATAATTTTGATGTTGAGATATGTGAGATTCAGTCTTCAGGGCAATACATCAATTAAAAACTTGTATGACTTTTAAAACATTTTTATTGTTTCCATACGTTTCGACACATTATTTTGTGTCATCTTCAGTGGACTATTTAATTGTAGTAATACTATTATAACTACATATATAATACATATATTACTACAATTACATAGTCCACTGAAGATGACACAAATAATGTGTCGAAACGTATGAAACAATAAAAATGTTTTAAAAGTCATACAAGTTTTTAATTGATGTATTGCCCTGAAGACTGAATATCATATATATATATAATTATATATATATATATATATATATATATATATTATATATTTGAATAGTCTTGAATTTGATGTTGATATATATGTTTAATTTGAGTTTAATATTCGGGCGTAACATCAATGAAAATAGTATGAGAGTTTTTTTAAAAGTTTATTTATTTAAAATCCATACGTTCCGGCTAGCATCTTAGCCATCATTCAGTGGTAATCAAATTAACTATAAAAATTGAAACTAAATAAATTATATGAAAGAAAATTTCATGGAAAAACAATAATAATAATAATAATAATAATAAAACACTTACAATTTTGCATCCTAATATAGCATATGAAACCATTATTAATCCATGGTATGAGTACGTGCACATTGATAATATATTTTTTTAACATCACAAGTGGTAAAACACAACTAATAACCATGATAACTTAACAAGTTGTCGAAACTATGTATTTACTCTTCGGAGTTTAAGATAGAAATGTCACATTTTTCTCAAAGCAGTTTTTAGCATGTGTTAAAATTTTCTGAAAAAAAATTTTTTTGTATGATAAAAGAAGTACGATAAAATAAAAAAATGACTCAGAACAGTTTGCTAACATTTTAATTTGTTTGTGCTTTTTTTTGTATATTTTTGTATAAATTTTTAGTTGTATAGACATTAGAATTTTTTATAGACATTTAGAATTATTATTTATTATTTTTTCAAATGGTCGTGAGTAAATTAAGCATTGTGCTCATTTGT